CATTGTGTGAGTTTCTTTCGTAGTTGTCCTCCACCAAGGCCCTGATCGATGATGCACTACCCAGTGTCGAATGGCTTAGTGATAGTTTCGATAATCTTGATGTTGATGTCTGGGCTAGAGAAAATTTCTTCCATGACCGACATCGGCTTCCCTATTATTGAGCGACACGATTCCGTTTGTTGGTTTTGGTGCATGCAATTGATGTCTTTGTTAGGGAAAGCTAAAAAAGAATAAACAAAGTTCTCAGTGCTTTTCGTAGAAGTCATCTGGATCTGTGGAATAAACTTTAAGGTCAAAATGCCTCATAATGCACTGAGATTCATTGCCTGCCTTCAGATTTTTTTTCAAAAAGTAATATTTATTAAACGCAGACTAGATATTACTTGTAGAACAGGTTGAGATCTTGTATATCTAGGTGTAATGCTTAGGAGCCTTCTGGTAACTTCAAGCTGAACATTGCATTAGGTCCTACGTAACATTAACAGATTATCTTCGTCGACTTTCTCTTTGTATCCCAACGGCCATCTAAAGACATTCCCAGGTATTTTCAGCATACAGATCGATGAAATAAGCTTTTAAATAGCACCTAATACGACAAACAACACGAAACGGTCCTGTGCTCAAGCTATTAACGAAAGAGAAACTTGACGAAGAGAATCGATCAATGTTACTTAGGTCTTAATGCATCGTTCAGCTTGACTTGACTTAAGTTGAATCTTTATGATTTCCGTGGTAAAGGTTGGGATTACGGATCTGATGAGTATTAGTAAATTCAAAAATAAGTGTCTTCAAAGTGAGTTTTAAGCTGGAATTAGTTGTTGGTGTTGTGAGGGAGAATCTCAAGCGTGGGATTTGTTTTAAATATTCGCATGCGAGCTTATTCTCTTAGAATGAGAATGACAATGAATGAGATTTGAGGACGATTTTCCGAACACTGTTGGAAGTCAACGATGTTTGTTTTAAAATTTCCTGGAACTGTTTCATTGGTCATTTTTATTAATTTTGACGCAGGACTAGGTCTTTGTCGAAGGTATGGGGCACCATTTCGTCAAAGCAGCAATATGAAATAATTCAAGGTTTTAAACGCTTATAACTTGTTCATTTATGGATGTATTTGCATTATTAATATACCATTTAAATCAGATTTGACGTAAGACTTGTTTGGTTAAAAATTACAATTGTACATCAACATCAAACTATCGAAAAATTATCAAACTTGCTTGCTTGTCTTCACAGCCGGGTATAGATGGTAGCGAATCCCTAACACGGACATGAAGTGCAGATACTACAACACTAACCGTTACATAAATTCAAACAGCGACCAGAAAATGTGCATATTATAAGAAATGGGTGGAGCCAAGAATATATGCGTATAAAAAATACGCACTTAAATATTTCAGCTGTATTGGACTGCCGATGTGGCTCCAGATTGAAAGAAAAGCTTCTTTGGATGCTTCTAGTTTTTCTAGAAGCTTCTGCTAAAAGCTTATTCCAGAACCTTGCTTGTCTTAAAGTTTCTTCCAGAAGCTTTTTCTGGAAGTTTCTTCTAGAAGTTTTTTTCTCCAGCGGTGCGGGTGGTGTAGTGGTAAGCGTGATTACCTATCATCCCAGCAGGCCTGAGTTCAATACCAGTCGGCACCGTAGGGATGTTCTGAGGCATAACATCCCTGATCACGCCTACCTTCGGAAGGGAAGTAAAGCCGTTGGTCCTCGGTTCATGAGTTGATGGGTCGATAAGTAAGGTCCAGGTGTGGGAGCTGCCTCCCTGGCGTCGGTAGCATTGGTGCTCAGCACGGAAAACAAGATCGACAGAAAATCAAGGACAAAAAAAAGTTTTTGCAGAACCTTCCTCTAGAAGTTCTTTCCACAAACTTCCTCTAGAAGTTTCTTCTAGAAGCTTCCTCTAGAAGTTTCTTCCAGAATCTTTCTCTAGAAGTTTCTTGAAGGAGCTTCCTCTTGAGATTTCTTCTAGAAGTTTCTTCCAGAAGCTTCCTCCAGAAGTTTGTTCCAGAAGCTTTCTCGAGAAGCCTCCTCGTGAAGTTTCTTCCAGAAGCTTTCTGTAGAAGTTTCTTCCAGAAGCATCCTCTAGACGTTCCTTCCAGAAGCTTCCTCTTGAGGTTTCTTCTAGAAGCTTCCTCCAGAAGTTTGTTCCAGAAGCTTCTTTCAGAAGCTTTCTCTAGAAGTTTCTTCCACAATCTTTCTCTAGAAGTTTCTTCCAGAAGCATCCTCTAGACGTTCCTTCCAGAAGATTCCTCTTGAGGTTTCTTCTAGAAGTTTCTTCCAGAAGCTTCCTCTAGAAGTTTCTTCCAGAATATTTCTCTAGAAGTTTCTTCCAGAAGCTTCCTCTTGAGATTTTTTCTAGAAGTTTCTTCCAGAAGCTTCCTCTTGAGATTTCTTCTAGAAGTTTCTTCCAGAAGCTTCCTCCAGAAGTTTGTTTCATAAGCTTCCCTGAGAAATTTCTTCCAGAAGCTTCCTCGAGAAATTTCTTCCAGAAGTTACTTCCCGAAGCTTCTTCTAGGAGCTTCTTTTATAAAAGCCAATCTTCCAAAAGCTCCTTGTAGAAGTTTCTTCCAGAAGCTTCTTCTAAGCCCTGGGTTCAAACCCAGTCGGCGCCGTCGGTGCCGGTAGGCATAAATCTCTGATCACGCCTAAAAGCTTCTTTTTGAAAGATTTTTTTAGAAGCTTCTTCTATTATTGTTTAGTAGCAGCTTCTTTCTGCAAGCGTTTTTTAGAAGTTTCCAGTAAAATCTCGATTACTTTTTCGAAGGGACGTATCAGCTTTTGTAAACAATGCATTTGATCGTCGATTTGACGTAACTGGTAGCTCGCCCACGCATACTAAGAAAAATTCCCCTATCTGTGGGTAGTGTTAGAATGTGTGGGCGAGCTACCAGTTACGTCAAATCAACGATCAAATGCATTGTTTTACAAAAACTGATACGTCCCTTCGAAAAAGTAATCGAGAAATCTTCTTTCTGGAGGCTTCTACTGAAAGCTTCTTTTTGGAAGGTTTTTCAAAATGCTTTTTTCTATAAGCTTCTTCTCGAATATTCTTTCTACAAGCTTGCTTCTAGAAACTTTGTCCTGAAGCTCTAGGAAGTTCTTCTGAAAGCCTCTTTCTAGAATCTTCTAGAATTCATAGAAACTTTCGTAGACCTGCGTCAAGACAACTGTTGTGTTCCTAGATAAAACACTCTGATTTTTTTAAGTGGTTTGAAGTTTCAGACGTTATTGAATGAGAGAAAATCTGGAACAATTCGATTAAAACGTTTAACTTCTGAAACCACAGCCTACTGTTGTCTAGAGCTTATTTAACGATGGTAGATTCAAGGCCGTTTAGTGTAGATTAGGTGATCTGAGACTGACATATACGAGCGTCAATTTTGACATAAAATTGAGTCATAATAGACGCGAAATTTAACTCAATCAAACGTACATTCAAACTTTTCAGTCTCGGTGCACTAAATTTTACATGACATGTTTGTTTACGTCTCATCTTTTATGTCAAAGATGGATTCCGTCACGTATAAGATTAGGTATTTCTTAGTGTGTAGTTTCCATGCACACTCATTTCATCTAACAATGAATTCTAAACCTCTAGCAGATCTTATTCACATGAGGAGTAGGTTCGCCAAAGTCAACGGGAGGCCCCCTAAGGTTAGTGATGATGGTCGGAGGTGAGGCCGGCAGATTTCTGCTCTATTCATGCTGCAATGGACAACCCTAATCCAACATGTAATGATGTAGAACACAAACGAGCTGTGTTTGTTTACGTCGACTGATACTGAGTGGTACCGGTACAAGCACATATCGTCGATTATTGTGCATTCGAGAACGCTTGCGCAAAACGACTAGGGAGGGAAACGGATTCGAAACTCAAATGTCATCAGCCAAATACATCCGTAGACCATTGTATGGTTGGCAATACACCCGTGCACTTAATGGAAATTGTGGGTTCGAATCCCACCGGTGCCCTTAGATTTTTTCGCAAATTTTCTCACACACCGTCAAGACCGATTATTTGTGCTCACCTCTAAGTATCTTCTAACTTTCTCAGATTTGCATATTTCTTGATAGAGCTGGAATTAAGGCGTAACAGCTTATGTAAACAATGACTTCTTTCGATGATTTCTAGAAAGTCAAGGCTAGCCAACGCAAATCTACATCACCATCGGGTAGAGGAAGACTTCCCCTAACCGATGGTTTTGTTGGTTTGCGTAAGCGTGCCTTGAATTCCTATAAATCATCGAAAGCAGTCATTGTTTACAAAAGCTGTTACGCCCTAATTCCAGCTCTATCTGAATTTGCTCATTTTTCGTTGCTGTATTTCTACATTTGCTCAAACGGAGCCCTACTGTATTTGTCTCTTGATTGCTAGCAGAATTGTTAGTCTTTTTGATATACAGTCTTCGCTTGTAGACAGTTTTCACCTTTGTCACCATGCCTCCAACGCATGTCTACCTGTTTTTGCTTGTCTTTCTGCATCCACACTTAGCTATCAGGCCACTGCAGTCTGTCGTGTTTTATAACCTTCACAATGTCAGTAGGACCAATCCAAAGAAATTGAAAGCAAGAAGATGATAAACAGCGATACATTTCAAGATGAACATTGCATTAGGTCCTAAGTAACATTGACAGATTCTCTTCGTCGACGTTCTCTTTGTATTTTCAGCTCACCCATCGATAAAAGAAGCTTTTATCTAGCATCTAAAACGACAAACACAACAAGAAACGGGTATGTGCTCAAGTTATTAACGAAAGAGAAAGTCGACAAAAAGAATCTAGCAATGTTACCTAGGATCTAATGCAATGTTCAGCTTGATTTGATTGCATAATAAATGAATTCGTTCCTCTTTTCAAGTAGTACCTGAAGGGCACCACAAATTGCAACAAGTAACTCTCCCAAATTGCGATACCTTTTTCATTAACCCCCCACAAACAACCTTAAGCTCCGTTGATCACTAATCTGTCAACATTTCATCTCTCTATCGTCATTGCAGCTTCCAATCCATCTACCGTGATCGAATCGTGATGAAGACGACCCCCGTTCCTTGTTCGTTTCGATGCTGCTGAACCAACCAAGTGCAACAATAGTGCAATCTCTTACTAAGACGAAGACGATGACAACAACAACAACAACGTGATGCAAAACTAGAAGAAGAAACAAAAAACGCAGCTGTTGGCAGAAAACCTTGGTGAAAAATTTATGTTTAACCCACAGAGAGCGCAGCCCATTACCACCGACCGTCTCCGTATCCGAGTCCGAGTGTGTTGGTGTGGTGCATGTTCCTCCTGCAGCTCCTCTCCGTATGTTGTTTTGTCCGGTTCAGTGTGTCGGTCATGACAAAACAGTAATTAGAAGAAAAATACAAAACACCCGTGTTGCGCGCCGCCGTTAAAGAAGTTGAACAAAGTGGAAGAAGTAGCAGAAGAGTACGAAGAAGAATATTGAATCGGAGTGCGTATTGGCAGAACGTGCTGGTAAAAAGAAAAAAAAAGGTAATTGCAACTCTCCAAACGCGGTGTGAGATTTTGAGTTCAGTTGAGGAAGATTGGTATTGGTGTGGAAATGTTCCGCTAGCAGTAGGACGATACCTTTCTGCTGTGTTGTGTGGCAGTGTTTCGTTTGTGAATCTACAAATAACGACAAGAGCTGTGGAGCGTGTGTGTGTGTTGTGCTTGTATTTACAAAAGGTGAAGAAGAGGAGAAAATTAGCCCAAAAGAAGAAAACGGATAATAAAGGTTACCCCTGAAGCAAGTCGCCTAAAGAAGGCAGCAGAAGCAGGCAAGCTGAAGAGAAGACCAAGTTGCGAAAAGTAGAAGGAAAATTCCCTTTACCGTTCCGGCCGCATCATCGGTGTCGTGTCTCTTCTTTCTGTGCTATAGCTTCGCCAGTCATCAATCAATTTGTAATTTGCCTACCGACAAAAACACACTCACCAATAGCTAGAGAGCACACCGGGGGGGAGTAGGGTTCCGCTCGGTGCCTTGCCATCAGGAGGGGCAGGAGGAGATCAATCTCAGCAGCGAGGTCGATTGGATCTTCCAGAGTCAAGTAAGTAGGATGCCCTTATTTACTTATGAAAGTTCTGCTTTCTCTAGCTATCTTTTTCAACACTAATAATAACAATTTAAAGTACTTGTACAACTATTATTCGGTTCACATCTCCTCATCAACCTGTGCATCTGTGTCTTATACCCGGTGTCGGATACAGTGTGAGACTTTGTTCTCGTTTGTTCACATTTCCCATAGTATCCAATTTCGCGCTGACTTTACCCCCGCCCCAAGAACGCAACGTGACCAAGTTTTGCGGAGACTGATGAACTTTTCGTGAGTGGACGCGATGTTCGCCCGGTTGGTTCGTTTGCGCTCGGAAAGTGCCAAAGCATCAGCGTCGTCGTCCATCGCTACATTATAACACTCACGAAATTCGGTGCTCTGACTGAAGCCGAAGCGACGCGAGAGCAGGGTGCAAAATTATTGCGGTGTTGAAATATTGCCCACTTAAGTAGTTATTATGTCAGATTGATATTAGTTTCTGGGACGTGATGATTTGCTGCTAGGTACTGAGGGGTGGGCCATAGGTTCTTTCGTTTTGGTATGTTTTAGGATGCCCCAAGGACTAGGCCCGCGGCCCTTTTTCAAATGTTCTTAAATAAAGTGAACCAATAACTTCAAAAGGAGCACAGTACGAGGTGAGACCGTTGATTCTTGATCTTCATTGTTCCAAATGGTACTCGTTAAATGTTGGGCTAAACATTTTCCACAGACATCGTTCATGCTCGTCAACAATGATATAACCTTCTTAACATAAAAGTTACTCCAGCAGTAGCTCCGGAAGAGCACCCCGCTTTTAAGACAGCTTCTACGGTCACTTTAACGGTTATTCCGGACCTCCCGGATGATCGCTGCTTCTACGATTGACCACTCTTTATTAAAGAAAGAAGAAGAAGCCGTTTGACAGAAGTCTACATCAGTGGGCCTAATTTAAAATCCACACAATGTATCGGGTTTATTCATGTTAATAAAAAAAATCATTTCCTATGCTGGTTTTAAAAAATATGGCCGCTGACAGGCCCGCTATTCTAAAACTTACTGTATTACAACCAGTAGACAGTAATTTATAAAAAAAAACATGCTCCCCTAAACTGCATACTTAGTTCAAGAACAGCCTTTAAAATGCCAAAAGATACTTTAACCGTCCACCCTCCCGTAGGCCATCCTTAAGCACCTTGCCGAAGGTGGGAGAGCTTTATCTCACGCTGTATGCCTGTATGGTAGACCAAGACAGTGGCCCAAAGTGATGGTATTACATATTCTTCTCATTCATTTCTTAGCCACGTCGTTATACGTTTATATAAAGGACTGCCATCAGAAGTGAAACTGGCGGTTTTTTCCGCAATTCACTCTTGAATTTGACGATACTAGTTAGATTAAATAATGTACATTATATCTGTATTCTAATTTCTTTAGGCAAAATGACTGGAACACTTTCCAATTGCGTGACGTATTTTCATTCATAATTGAGAGCTTTCTAAGCCTTTACTAATTTTTCATAAGTATAACTGTGTGGCAAGCACAGTCATACTCTATGCCCAGGGAAGTCGAGAGGTGTATCATCCCGAAAAATTTCTCGATCGAGCCGGGTCTTATTTTATAGCTGCCCCTTTACCGACTACGCCAAGAGAGGCCCCCGGTGAATGTCCTAGGACCATGTTGACAGTGTATATAGAACACCCTACTCCAATCTAGTTCTTAGTAGTTCTGAATCCTTTGTTGAGGACAGACAATCCATGCTTTCCTGTACATGACGAAATATCGACAGATTCCCTGCTTCTTCCATTAACACACTTCACAGAGCATAAAGTACCACAATATAGCAACTGTCACCACAGTACGGGGTGGGTGGTGCGATAAAAGTAAATGGGTAAACACGACACGTCCAAATCCCACCTTGATTAACACCGATATCGAACAGTCACAATTTCCAAACAAATCAATCCGATGTGCAAATTGATCTTCCACAATTGCCACATTTATCTCCAGTATCGGAATGTGCTAAATTGCATCGTTATCTTCCCACAGCATCGAAAATCTCGGTGGGAGTCAGTTCAACGGAAGCCAATAAAATTCATCACCTGCTGTTGCAACCGAAAGCGACAATGGCCATCGGGTGGGGGCCGGGGAGCTTCCTTGAATCCCGTTGCTGCATTGCTGCTGTGTAGTGCTCTTGTATTCCATCGTCCTAATCGCAAAAACCACTTACTGCATCAGTTTTGGCACACAGCTTCAGCAGTGCTGCTGTGTGTGGGTGTGGTGGGATTGATTTCCGATCTACACAGAACTCGACGAATGTCGTCCAAAGCCGGTTCTGGCGAAAGGTGGGAAACCGAGAGAAAGAAAAAGCTGTCAATATAAATTGTCATCGACATGGTCTCGGAAATTTTGCTTTCGATTTGTCCGACGTTGTCAGTTATCAGAGAAAATGTCCCATCGTCTGATCGCATCCTGATGCTCTCTAAACATCGCCTAAGGGGCCAAGCATACAACTCCTACCAAAATGATGACGACGACAGTAGAATCGGAATGAAATGTTTCTGTTCCTCGATTTTCTTTTTTTGTGCGCTTCCTCATTCACTTCCACACAAATCCAGCGAAGCGATTGGTTTCTGTCGAATTCAAATTGTCTTGTTGTGGGAGTAGAACCCGAAGGAAAAAAGAAGGTAGCTTTTCCGACGAGTGCTTGTTTTCGTTTATTTATTTTCCACACCCTCGCGCGGTAATCGACCCACTTCATGGGGCGGCCGCTGCTGATGATCCGTCGTTCATACAGACTAGAGGTGAGTAGCTTCGCTTCAGGAAATCGGATTCGCTGTTTGCGGTACTCGGTTGGTATGAATCTCGAGAAGACGGCCAACCGACAGACGGACGACGACGGCGGTGCGAGTGAATTGCTATTATGGAAAGGAAATCTGTCGTATCTTTATCGAGATTTCGAAATCCTTCGATTGACTGTTCCCCACCCCAGGATGATGGTTGTACGGATTTGTCTGGCCATGATCTGACTGCTGCTATTGCCGAGAGTGAACCGCTTGTGAAATCGGGAAAATGCTCCGGAAAATCAATGATGGAGGCATGAGAAAAATGTGTGTACACTCAGCACAGCAGAAGTGAGTTGGATGTGTGAGTGTGTGTGTGGGTGTTCGCAAATTTATTCATAGACATATCGGATGAACGATCGATCTGCCTGTTTTCATAAAAAGGGGACACACATCGGCTTGCAATATTTTGCGATTTCTCAATGCTGGTGAAAGTATGCCGTCCTATCGGTTTTCGCTAGTGTACACAGGCATGGGTTTTCCGATGTGGCGAAATTTGTACCAACCATTTTTTTTTAAATCAAGATAAAGTTTGATTCCGAATGGACTTCTAAGTATTGGCGTGTATCTTCGAAAAATAAATCCGCATATTGTAGGATGGCAACAAAAACGAGTGCTTCATGTGTGAATGGGAAAGTATTCAAAGAATTTTGTTCGAAGCGAGCTAAAAAAATATAACCGAGGAAATGCAAATTTGTCCAGCAAATCGAAATCACACTTTATCATCAAACTGGATTCACATTCAGATTTTAATTGTCTTAAAAACACTCAAAGAACGAAAAAATAGCTTCAAAACTGCCGAAATAAGCTTTAAATGTTGAATTATGTTTAAAAAATCTCGATCTAAACACGTTGAATTTTATTTTGAAGTACCTCAACAGCACCACAATTGGCGTCAAAAGTGGGTTTGAATATTTTAAAGTAACCTTAAAATTACCAAAATTGTTTTAAAACACCCACAACGCTAAAATTTGGTTTAAATGGATTTTACCACTTCCAGAGTAACATTTGAAATGGGCCAAACGTAAACAAACCAGAAAATGAATTTTAAATTTTTCTGCCACTTTTCAATCATATTTTAGATAAATGAAGTATGTTAGGCATTTATATGGTTCACAATAACAATAGTAACTGTATCTCAGTATAAAAAAATATGTAAAATATGCGAAAAACTTTCAAAATATTTGAAAATTGACAACAATTTAATTTAATAAATTAATAAGCCTTTTTGTGAATCTTTCAATGGATAGGCCCTTTTTTAAAGCCGTTGTGCTTGTCAACAGAAATAGTACGCCCTTTGCTAAGCCTTTTCGCAACGTCAAATAAATTCAAAACTAATCATTGGCCCTGCCTCAAGCAGTAGGGCCTAGCTTTGGTTTGAAATTTTTCAATCATCGGCCCTTCTACGTCACTAGGCTTATCAATGAAATGAAATAAAGGAATGGTTGGCCGTTTTAGCGTGCGGCCTATTAATGAGTCGAAAAATTTCGTTGATCGGTTGAGTGGCGTCGCGTAACCTCTTTTTTACCTGTGCACCAACTTTCAAAAACAGATTTAATACCATATTCATACTCGATTCGGTTGAAAAATACACTTAATTTTCTAGTTAACTCGATATCTGTCCATTGCAAGCACAATTGTTTATGTTTTGAGAGTTAGTGCACAGGTATATTGAGGTTAAGGCGACGCCACTGGATCGGTTGTTTCGAAAATCGAGTTATTTTTAATGATTTTTCTCGATTATGCGGAACTTTCCTACACGATTAGTAGCTATCAAGCGGTGCTAAAGAATGGTATCAAAGCCCGATTTGTTTACGTTTTGGACATAGGCCCATTTCAAATGTTACTCGAGAATTCAAGTTTTATAGAGCTCAAATCCAAGGCACTGCTGCGATACTGCTCATGAAACTGTAACTACACTGCAACAAACGTGGGGTAAAATTTCATTTGGCACAATGCATTTTTCGGCCTTAGTTGATGCAACTTTAATTTTACGTGACAATATGTAATTCATTTGCATTGAATTTAAAATGCATCTGTGTTGAATGTACAACGAAAAACGATGTAAACTTACATTATTGTGTAAACTTCTGCATTAATTAATTGAATAACTGACCGTTAAACGTGTAATTTGATATTCAACAACCTGTTCCATTTTAGTTTATAGCTGAAAAC